CATGTCTGGGTTTCCACCTGGTGGGAGTGGCGGTTCATCCTGGTCCTTTGGACAGGGTGTCCAGCCCCAGACTCAGGCAGGCCATCTTGGCCAGTTCTGGGGTCACTCCCGGCCCGCTGGACCGTTCCCATTCCCTCAGGGGTTTGGTTTTTTACCCCATGGGTCTTCACTCGTGGAACTCATAGGGGTTGGTCTCTCCTCTAGGAGATGTTATAGCAGTGCGGAATCCCCCCAATGTTCTGCTACTTCGGGGGCCTTGTTGGCCGGTCCTATAAAGGTTTGCCAGACCTCAAGGACTTCCGCCTCCAGCGCGGACCCGTCGGTCTCCTGTTCCCAGGGGTCGGCTTCGGGTCTCCGACCCAAGACTACAGCTACGGCTGTTGGTCGCGCTGCGTCCAAATGCCATAAAGAGGAGTTCCCCTCTGCGGAGATGGCTCCTCTGGCGGCCCCTGTTCTTCCCAAGGGGACTTCGGTCTCTATTGAGGAGGAGATGGACATAGAGGGTGCGGGCTCGGCAGAGGAAGACGATGTCATTCATCTTTCTCCTGGGCCAAGAGGGTTCACAAGGGGAAGATGGCCCTGAGACTGCTGAAGCCGAGGCTCAGCATGTGCTTTCTGGGATGCGGGTCCTCTGGGCCAACATCTCCCGGATTCTCAGGGCGGAGGTTTGCCCACCGCCTCAGCATCGTCGGCGCCTGAATCCACCATCCTTCTGGGTTCCCTGGTGGCTCCTCGGGCTTCCGTTCGCTCAGATCGGTCTCTGCCAGAAGGCAATATCATGTCTTCGGTTCTGGCCACGGCCCGGGCTCCGGTTTTAGAGAAGGACTCCTTCTCTACCCGTGCTCCCGGGTTTGTCGGTCTGCAGCTCAGTGTTGGTGAATTGTCGGAGGCTTCAGCTTCCGACTATGCCACACATGATGGGCAGCTGGCCTCTCAACCAGCACAGCTGGAGTTGAGACAGCTATCTGCCTGGCCCGGCAAATCAGTGGACCAGGTGGTGCTCGATCCTAAAGAGCACCACAGGATGGAGAGAATGTTGCACCTCTCCATCCAAGTTCTGTCATACATAGACTTCCTGACAGTTTGTCTATACAGGGTATCCGATTTGCCTGAGTGTCGGTTATCCGAGACAGAACAGCCGACATACAGGACACGGCAGCCTTGCAGGATCTCTGCTCGTCAATGCCGTGTTGGCTAGGCAGTTTTCAGTTCTGAAATTCCGCCCAGTCCAGTAACCCTACCGTTTCCGCTTGTTGAATGCCCCCTTCTAGGGCTCTACCCTGTTCAGGGGAGCTCTTCCTTGGGTTCAGAAGGATATGAAGGAGGACTCGGTCGCCTCAGCACTTCTGGTGAAGAGGTTTCAGGCTGAGAAGGCCAGTGCCTCGCAGGGGTCAGTGCCTCCTAAGAAGAAGGCAAAGTCTTCGGCTGCTCAGTTTTCTGCACAGCCCAAGTCCCAACCTCACTTCAACGGCAACAAGGGGAAGGGTAGGAAGGGTAAGAAACCTCCTGGGGGCAAGAAGAAGGGTTCCTGACTATTTCTGCTTCTTGGCCGCGAAAGGCGAAGGGTATGGCCGGGTGGACGGTGGTTCTCCTTTCCCGGGCTCATGTCCTTCTCCCGCAGGCTCAGGCTCCGGGTGGGCAGACGATTCTCTGGTCTGGCAGGGGCTCGATCTTCCCCATCCGGAACTCCCTGTGGGCGGATGTCTCTCTGCTTTCCTTTCCCAGTGGCAGGATATTACAGATGACACGTGGGCTTTTGTCGGTGGTCAGGGAGGGTCTAGGTATTCCCCTTCTTCAGGATTCGTCCCTCGCCTCCTGGCCGTTTTTGTTTCTTTCCTCCTCCCGGGGATTCAGAAAGGGCACGGGTGCTCCAGGAGGAAGTAGGGACCATGCTGCCAAGGCAGAGATGCCCTTGGGGCTCACGACAGCTCCTTTGGTGTTCACCAAGTTGCTGCTGGTGTTTCCTTCACTCACGCAGAATAGACTTCCACATCTATTTCGACGACTCCCTCATGCCTCTTTTGGTGTGGGAATCGTTAGTGAAGGACACTCGTCTGGTCCTGAAACTCTTGCTCAGAGTCGGCTTCATTCCTTCCAGAGAGAAGTCAGAGGTTCCTTCATATTAGGACTTCTTCCTGGGGAACCATTTTGACATGGTTCGGGGCTTAGCCCTTCCACCTCTGGAGAAGTTTGAGAAGGTCAGGGCTCTGGCTCTGACTTTCATCACTTGGTCGCTTGTCCAGGTATATTGGTTCCTCAGTTTTCTGGGGTATCTCAACTCCTTGGCATATGTGGTCCCCCTAGGGAGGATTCACATCGGACCTCTCCAGATGTTCCTCCTGTCTGACTGGTTTCCGTCATCCAGGAGGCCTGGATCCCGCTTACCCAGTCGGTCAGGGAGTTCTCTTGCTGGTGGACCATTCAGGAGAACGTTTTCCACGGGGTACCTCTGACCAAGCCTATCCCCTCTATGATCCTGTTCATGGACGCGTTCATGACAGGAATGTGAGCTTACCTCGATGGCCAATGCCGCTCGGGGGAGTGGTCTGGCGAACAGCTCTCGGAGTACATCAGTGTACTCGAGATGAGACTGTTCATTTGGCTCTGCAGTCCTTTAGGGGTATCCTGCAGTCCAAAGTGTGGCTACCGACAACAGTTGTCGCGTATCTGGAGAGACAGGGGCCACCAGGTCTCATGTCCTGTGTGCTCTCTCCATCCACATCCTTCTTCTCTGCCAGGACATGCAGTTGACCATAGCGGTCAAGCATCTTTCTGGCAGGCTGAGTGTGTTGGTGGCCACTCTCCAGGCGCCACCAGCCGGTGTTGACGGAATGGCAGCTGTGTCCCTTGATTTTCAAGGGGAATTGTCAGGCGTGGGACAGACCTATTATAGACCTGTTTGCCACTTCCCTGAACAACCAGCTGCTAACCTTCGTCTCCCCGGTCCCAGACCGTAAGGCGTGGGCTGTGGACGCCCTTTCTCTGGAATAGGAAGGGACGTATGCATATGCATTCCCTCCCTTCAACCTGGTGGGCAGGGTTCTACAGAAGTTCTGGGAGCATCACTGCTCCTTACTTCTGAGAGCCCCTCTGTGGCCGAGGCAAGCTTGGTTTCAGGAGCTCTTGTCGTTTCTGGTGGAGGAGCCCTTGGCTCTACCCACCAGACCGAATCTCCTTCGCCAGCCTTGGCCCAGAACGACACACTCTTGACCAGAGATCCTCCACCTTCACGCGTTGAGGCTATCTCTGGAAGCCACGCCAAGGCAGGCTTTTCTCAAGAGGTGTCAGATTGCATTGAGCAATCAATCAGGGCTTCCTCTTCTGCCGTCTACCAGTCACGTTGGATGATCTTCTGTGATTGGTGTGTCGGCAAGGAAGCTTATTCATTCGAAGCCTCTGCATTTGATCGCGGACTTCCTAATCTCTCTGTTTAGGTACCGCTATCTGCCACCTGGCACTATTGCTGGCTATCGTACAGCTATTGCCAGAGTTCTTGCTTGTTATGGCAGGAAGGAGATCGGTTAGTCCTCCTCTCTTTCTGCCCTAATCAGAGGCTTTGCTATGAATAGAGTTGTTTTTAGCGAAGAATCAGGTTCCGGGGTTCTCGCACGATCCCATCAGGATCCTGGCTGTGACTAGCTCGGAGGAGCGAGATAGGTTGCTTTGTCCTTGTCGGGCTCTTAGGTTTTATCTTGATAAAACCAGGGGGCGGGGCTCTCGATCCCGTCTGTTTTGCCCATTAAACAGGGACAACGAGATATCTCCTCCCAATCGGTTTCCAGGTGGGTTTGCCAGGTGATTTAGTATGCTTACGAGCATTTTGATGATCTGGCTCGGGCGAGAGCGAAAGCGCGGTCTCACGAGGTCAGGGCCCTTGCTTCATCCTGGGCCCTTCTCTCAATGAGTCCTCCTTTCAGGAGGTCATGTCTGCAGTATTCTGGCAGGGCAGGGATACCTTCACAGATTTTTATCTGTGATCCCTAGCTTCCCACTCAGAAGGCCTGTATTCATTGGGACCTTTGGTGGTGGCATAGTCAGTGGCTGGGCCTCCTCGTTAGCCCCGGGCCATGTCTTTCCGTACGGCGGCATGTGGGTACACCTGCTCTTTCACAGAGAGGTCCCTTCCTTCACTTTAGCACTCTGTTCTCCCTCCCTACTACTTTGGTTGTGCTGAAGGGGCTGCCTGGCTTCTAGTCACCACTACGGTAAGACGAATTCGCATACTAAAGTTATGGTAATTATTACTGAAATGAAATTGAGGTTTTTTAATGTAAAACCAATTTTCATGATGTAATACTTACCATAACTTTATGGAGTCCCACCCTATCCTCCCCTCTTCCTTATCTGCATGGCTGCCCCTCTGTGGGGTCTACGCCATAAAGGTTATTAGAGGAAGGGAGATCACTCTGCGTTCCTGCCGTGATGGCTCATGGATCGTAGGGAGGGCGGGATTGTTTTTCTTTTGAATCTTTTGTTGTTGGGATACAAAGATGGGTGTAGGTACTGTATTTGCATACTAAAGTTATGGTAAGTATTACATCATGAAAATTGGTTTTACATTAAAAAAACTCAATTTTTTTATCATTTTGAACGTACGTCGAGTACATGTGTATACCGTGCCACCAATTAAACGAATGGAAACGCGAAATACAGTTACGGAAAACCCCGGCGACTAATGATTCTGAAATTCTGAATTTTTATGAAAAAAAAGTAATGTAAAATCTTGAAAAAATCTGTTGCTTACTTTGATATATGTATCTGTTAGTCGTTCGTCATTCTCTCCTCGGTTTATAACAAATAATCTTTTTTCGTTATGCATTGTTATCTTTCTGTTTTTTTACCGATTACCCAATTTTAAAAATCGTCCATGTTTAAGTAACGATGTCAATGTTAATAGACTTTAATATATAATATTTTTGACATAATTACATTAATGTTGTCAAGTAGTTAGATGGCTATTTAGAAACTTAAGCGTTTTCAATTTCCTTTAATTTATTTCTTTAATTCGGCGGAAGTAGTACCCTGTCGATGACTTGAATGACGCCATTGTTCACAATTACGTCAAAAATTTTCAACAAAGCGCCATTGATGACGACGTTACCTGAAAATTTTCAAAAAATGTATATTAACTTTATTTTACAACTATTTCGAAACAAGCTTTAAGCTTATGTTGGTCACTCTTGTTGGCCGGGTGGGGTGATACATCGTTTTATGTCTTATGGTACCGTTATGAGTTTGCATTTCTCATAGTAAATACTCCTTTTACTGTGAATTTCATGGCGCAGATAGCTCTTCGTATTATCTAAATCGTTTCATTCAAATCTATTAAATATATCCATTTATTCCATCACAAAACAGCTGCGCTTGTTATCTTGTTACCAATCAATATTCAACAGGTTTTTTAAAATAAACACCAATTAGTACTTTATGATATTGACACGTGTAAATATATAATTCTGTAAAAAAAAAAAACTGACAGAGGACGTTAAATTCCTTTTCAAAACAGGCACTGAACGCAACCTGAAGACATGGGGTTGAAATAATGACAAAATAATGTCAATGTCTTAATCCTAAGAGTTTTGTTATTGTTTACTAAACATATACAACTGGAATATTTAGTGTTGAAAGTTCTCTACTGTTATAGCGGAGACGCTAGTTTAACTCTAGAAATAAAGGCAAATACCTATTCGAAATATGTATAAGTGACATGGATAGGCAAAAAAGAAGATTTTTCGTTTTGATCAAAAAGAAATTATAATAAATCAAATTATCTATGAAGCATTCTCGTGATATAAAAAGTTTGAAATAAACAATTCAGTTCAGAAGATAACTAATTTGTATAAAGTATTTAATTAATATAGTCTTCCTCACTCTTACCTTCCATAACAGTTACGATCAACTGTTTATCGTTAGCCGTTGTAAGTCTTTGGTTGTCATGGAGACCTTCACTGTAAAGGGTTTCCCTCAAGGCATGGTACTCCACGAAGTCTACAAGGATGTAAAACAGTATGAGACAGTTAATACAAAGCGAGACAACTCCTTCGTTATAAACACAACCGAATCTACAATATGTATGAAAAAGTCACATACAGGTAAAAATATTTCAAAAGTCGTACCAATCACTCCTGTTTTGTTCAGCATCAGTTTTTGGAGAAAACCTACTGGCAGTTTATTAAACGCTTCATTGTTCGGCGCAAACAGTGTGAACGGTCCGCCTTCAACACAAAGTGAATCTATCAAAATCTTAGCTCTCTGTTTTCCTATCACTGATAATATTGGATGGTTTTTCGTATGTTTTTCGAGGAGTTATTTCTTATTCGTATTCAATAAAACAATTCAAGAATAATCAAGACAAATACATAGAGTTCAACAGCGAAATAACTCAGTCAACAATTATTATTCTCGATTTAATTCATCAATGTTTCATTAATCTCTCTCTCTCTCGAGAGAGAGAGAGAGAGAGAGAGAGAGAGAGAGAGAGAGAGAGAGAGTACAGCAATATTCACGAAATCCTAAATCAAACGGATGAAACTAGGTCTATATATAAAAAAGTCGTGAGATTTTCACAGACATCATTACAAAATTTGAAGAAAGTTAAGGTTGATTAGAGAAAGAGTAGTTTAGTGAACATTGTATATAAATATTACCCGAAAAATATGAAAAAAATTAGTAATAAACTCTTACAACAAAAGCGAATATCAATGTGTTAACAAAATCATCAATCTCATTAAAGAGACTGATAAAACAGGAAGGATGCTATGCCAAGGAATGCATAAAAATCTATTGAAAAATTTAACATTTCATACCACATCGTCATCTGTTAGGATGGTCATTCAATCTAGGAAAGACAACAGGAACTCGGTACGTATAAAGGTTATACAAAACACAAAAGTGATCAGCACCTTTCATTATAAATTCAGAATTAGATACAGCAGAGCCAAACAATGAATTAAAACATTCCCAATAGAAAAAGTATTGCCTGTGTTAACCGATTAACGAACGAAACATCTGTCGTGAGAAAGTTAAAAAATACATTTAGCTGCTTGAATGACGAAATTTCATGTTTTATTGTTGGAAAATGCACCTGAAGAGTGCTCGTTCGAAGGAAAGTCATAATTAAGGTGTTTCAAACGTTTTAATCGTTTGAATGCTGATAAAAACAATTTCCAGATATGATATTAAGGTTGACTTTCGTTGATGTTTTGAACAGGGAAAGGGAAGTTTAAATTTTAATGATATTCGCAATATTTACAGTACCTCCGAAGAAATCCGTGAGATTAGCATGCTTAATGACGTCGGCGAATAGAGATAGTGAGGGCGTTGCTGTTAAGTACCCTAGGAGGGACTGTATCGGGAGAGGGTACATCACCCTTTGAAGCATGTGAACCACGCCATTTGAAGCGGACAGATCAGTGACGGTTATATCCACGCCGTCAGCTGTAAACGTCTGTAAAAATGCTGCTTCTTCATTTTATTCAATTTGAGTACTATACATATATTTATACAATGTCCAAACTACCTTGTGGAAGATGTTCTGGTCACAAAGTTATGACGGAGCATACTGGGGAGTTATTTTTTGTGGTAATCTACTCTGATTTTGCGCACTAAGACTAAAGGTGTTGAGATGCAGTAAGTAATATCTGTATTAATTGATTGATTGATTGATTGATTGTGATTGATTGATTGATTGTGATTGATTGTGATTAATTGATTGATTGATTGATTGATTGATTGATTGATTGATTAGGTTATTTAGAATCACTGAAACTGTTAAATGCATTAAAATATTTTTGTTTACGCTTTTGATTCCAATACCAATATAATTTCGCCATGGCTTTTAGCATTAGATTATATGTCCATTCCTACTTAGTGAACACCAACACGATAAAATATTTCCATTAAACTTTAAAGTTAATGATTACTGACGAGAAATGGTTTTACCCACTCACCGATCCGATGATGTTAATGCGGACCTTAGTAGCACCATTCAAAGTAGGATAAGTGACATCGTTTGTAAACGTGTCCGACTTCCTCCGCCCTCTGACCACATGGAATGTGAACACGTAATCAACAAACGTCATATTTTTATTTAATTTGTCCATAACACTTGGCGGTAACCAGTTAAATCCATCGTCTAATGGTGCAAATATGGTATAGTTACCTGAAACAGTCATATTTGTAAAATCACACTATGAAATGACATACTTTGTTCAAGGTAATGTTATTCTGGTTGTCGTATATGTAAAAAAAATCTGAAATTATATAAACGTATCAAAAGTGTTATCTTGAAATTAATATTTTTTTTATAATTAGCTTTGTTTATCTTGTTTTGTTATTTTGTTTTTTAACTAAAGTTTAGTATATTGCATTGCAAAGTGTGTCAATGTATTTAATTTTTTGTCACATTTAATGTTAATTTGTTGACTAGTTCACCCTTATAATGTTTACCATTTTCACGGTTCCCTTATTAGGACAATATTTACTTCGTAATTATTCATTTTCGTTGAAGATTTATTTTTGGTTGATTTCGTGGAGGTAATCGCAATCAGTGAATTTAAATTTTAATGATAACGAGTAAAGGGTACATTTGTCTTACAGTCGTCTCGGAATTACCTTTGAGTCTGTGGTAACGGAACAATTTTAGAAATGTACAAGGAGTGGTGACCAGGATAACAGGATAACCGGGGGGGGGGGGGGGGGGGGGGGGGGGGGGGGGGGCAGTGGTACAGGTACAGCGTAATAATCATTTGAGCGAAACATGATATCTACTTAAGTCACAACATAATTAAATAATGTGATTTTCACGCTCTTACACTGACAAAGTCATTCAGTTAAGCAATTCACGAGTAATCACTTTATCTATTGTTATATTAAAAATCAATATTGTGCGAAAGAAAATGTTATTTTCAATATTTGGCATGTAATTGTTATATATTCAGTATCAAATTAGAATTAATGTTCATCAAAATTGAAAACATATATATTTTTTAATGTGAGGTGTGTTTTTTCTCTTAACGCTATAAAAGGGGCGTGCCTCTCGTTTAATGTGTTATCGGACTTGGATATAGACTGTTCTAAGTCCGTGACAATCTATACAATGAAAACAACACGATTGGAAATCGTACAGTTTGTAGTTATGTTTTTATTTCCGTTGATTTAGAGTGAAATAGATAAACTGGGGTGTGTCTTTACAATGTAGTGCTCATGTTATTGGTCGTAATTGCTTGTCGCCTTCGAAGTCCGGCGAATGCAACAAGGTAGCATATAGCTCGATTTGAGGCAATGACATAGCCAATTAGCGACAATTTGTTTTTGTAATGATATGTGCCTGTTGGCTTGTCTTCGATGGTCAATCATACTCCTAGTCGTCATATACACAGTGTACCGTTTCTTGTACTTTTCAAACATTGTCCCGTTACCATGACCTCAAAGGTAAATCCGGACTGGGTGAAGCAAAAATCGATATCGTGAGTACTGCTTATTCAAGAAATTTCATGTCAACAAAATTACATTTTTATGCGAAACTTGAGCCCAACAAAAAATAAACGATTATAACGTAATACCTTCTCCTTGTAATAGTGCTTCAAGATCTGTTCCATGAATCAACCTCCGTAGGATTGTTGCACCATTCTTGGAAGCCACATCCAGAATCGTGTTCTCATCGCACGTGGCAGTTACATGTGTCATAAACAATAACACGAAGGATAATGTTTTCATGTTTATGTCACTCAGTATGGCAACGATAACCAAGAGTTCAGGTCAGTATTGTTGTAATCGTCTGTAAGAATGCCTACGTGTTTGCATTAACACTGTCATACCGTTTTAGGCTGTCACATTTTCATTTGATATTGAAGTCCAATATAGTTCAAATAATATTATGTGTGTTTAAGTACAAAAATGTTAAATAGTTATCGAGTTTGACCTCCATTATCACTAAATTTACTCACAGATAACGTTATTGGTATGTGATCACGTTTTCTTCGGTAGGTTGGAGTCCTGGGGTTGATCAAAGTTCGTCCTTGGAATCACCATTCAACATTTAATTCTGTCACCTGTGGCGATGTTTATATATGGAACAAATGTATTATCTCGATAATAGTGTTTCGCCTGTATTTTGTAAATGAAAACAGAGTTTACTATCAGACAAGTATTATAAGAAAATTTGATTTTTTTATCAATTTTTAAGGAACCAGATATATCCTAAAACTGATGCCAAAACTCGGTCATATCAGATATAACTAGGCAACTCACTTATCACTTCAAAACAAGCATGCCAGAATTGATTAGTATTTTTCAGATAAAGCTTAATTTACGTACGATCACCATCTATGCCCGGAATTCGTTATGAGCTTGTTTACACTTGAAAGTGACATTTAATACTGGGATTGACCAAGGTTTTTATGGCGCGTGTGCGTGATGAAACAGAAAACGCTTACTCTTCCGGGACACTGGTATTATTTTCATTGTACTTTTTCAGGAGTCTCCCTTTAAATCTTTCTTATTTTGACCTAGTTTAATGGAATTTGAGTCTGAATTATGATAATGGTGACATGTTGGCATGTTTTTGATTTTTTAGAACACGAAGTGAAAAATACAAAGTGTATCGATATTAGTAAATCATTGTCTGAAGGAATACGGTCACCTGGACGTGTTTCATGCTCATTAGTATACTTGTTGGTAGCGTTGTTGTACACCTTGATCTCATTTGAGAACGTGACATTACTTTCTTGAATTGACTTGAATTAACAGAGTGGGTGTTGTCGATAAAGCAGAAGACGTTTATTTTTTCCAGAATAAATGGTCTAATTCTTCTTGTACTTTTTCAATGTAAATCTTTTGATCAAATTTTATTTAATTGAATTCTATTTTTGATTATGATATATTTACAGATTGGTGCTTTGCTTTATTATGTCGGTAGAAAAACATTTTCAGTACTAGTTTGAAACATATATATATATTAAAAGAATAGAAATAAAAGTTACATTAAGATGCTGATATCTGGGCTAGCGTTCTATAAAGATATATGACTGCCGCTCAATTATAGATTTATTGATCCGACTGTCACCGAATCAATGAAAATGTATAGATGTTTACGAGGCACTATGGTGTTACCAGTCGTTTGTTGGGAGTAAGGTTTTGTCATGAAAGTAACGGAAAAATCTAACTGTGTCTCACTGCATTTCGTAAGAGGCGAATACTTATGGAACATTCCTTTAAACGGATGAACGACCGAATCAATTGTGTACTAGTTGTTACCGCCAGGTCGTTCATGTTTTTGTATATCTTTTACAATCTTTCAGAACGTTGTCATGTTGTATAAACATCAGCGAGATTAATACGGAGCCTAAAATAGCAGACAGATTCATATTTACGTGAAATGTTGACAACAAGTTTTAAGAATAAGAAACTACCTTCAACAATGACACTATTTATATGTACACAGGTGTGTGTCGCGTAATAAGAGTTATAATAACCGTTTCATATATATTACCACTTTATCATTTTGTACTTTTGTTGTAAGTTTTAAAAAATTTAAGATTACTTTTTTTGTACACGGTGACCAAATGTACAGAAACAAAAAACCGCAAAGTAATAAAGAAAACACAGAGAGGACAACAGTTGTTTGAGTTTTATATTATTTACAACATTAGGTAACATAGACTATCTACATATTTACAGTTGTTACATTCACACGTATCAGCTTGAATGTTTCGTGTTTCTGGTTGGTGGCAGAAGTACGGTATCAATCACGTGGATTACGCCATTTTTCACTGTGACGTCAGCAGTGGTTACCTTGGCGTCGTTTATTATGACATTTTCTGAAGAAGAAAAAAGTACATAAGACTTCAAGGATGAGTATTAGGGAATAATGTATTATATAACAAAGCAACAAAATTATAAAGAATAATTAATTTTTCATTCAAATTAGAGGAAACGTAAGTTTTATTTGTTTTTTGTTTTTGTTTTGTTGTTGTTGTTGTTGTTTTTTTAATTTTTTACAAAATTTCATTTTTTAATGTTTTCTTTGGGGGAGATAATTGTCTGCCATAGGGACACATTTTTTAAATATAGTGTCTGATATAACCTTACCCAACCTACTAACCGAGTGTCGTCCATGTCTTAATTTCTTAAACGATGGAGTTTAAAAATGTTTGGTAAGGACGATAATTTGTCTATATAATTAGTAAACTTACCCCCTTCGATTTTTACTGTAAGGTCCTGGTTGTTTGCAGCTTTCACTCTCAGGTTGTCACTGAGTCCAGCACTATATACTGTGCCTAATATGACATGGTACTCCAACACATCTGAAGAGAAACACAATAGACATTTTACTATTCAAAAACAAAATGGCGGCCTTTAATCGTTGCTGGTTACTAACCCAGCTCATATTAATTGGCCTTAGTGTACACTCCTGTCAAACTTCAGAATCAAAGAAAACTTTAGTACTTATCACAGAAATAGTCCTTTGGATAATTCTGTGATTGTCCTTTCACTATTGATTATAAATACCGAACTTTTTACTTCGCCATAAACGGATAAGCCGTCGATGATGCGGAATGGAGATGACCGACAATTAGTACCTCATCACTGATAACAGTTAGTTTTTTCAAACCTTCAAAACCCGGAGAGAGTTATAATACATTATGCTTTGTATTTCAAGGCTTAAAAAATTCATATTGAAAAGGAATATTGTGATCGATCGGCCCTGCAATGCATTTACCGTTGTAGGACAGTGTTTTGATTGTGGACAACTAGGAGTTTTTTATTGTCCTGTACAATGGTGACCTACGTTTTGTCCACGTCGGTCATGACTTTCTAGTCACTCCAACTGCAGTTTTGATTGTGTCTTTAACTGTCTAGGAAGATGGTGATATGCTTACTATCCACATCGATGGTGACCTACCTACATGTACAGCCATATCCGTTATAAACACGATTCCTTGGCCGCTTCTAGGACGGTTTTGACAATGATTTCTTGCGGAAGACCATGGCAATCAGCTAACTATCCAAAACAATGATAACTGGCTAATTATATAGAACGCTATTGTTGTCGAGACACTTTTTGTTGAGGGTAGTTCTGTTAGTGAACTGTTTAATCTGATGCTAACCTACTTACAATTTACCGGTAGAGGAGGTGTTAATGGTCTGTATATATGTCGGTTATATTAAGGGCTGCGATGATATGTTCGCTGCCTATAACTGATGTCTGTGGTGACCTACTAACAGTTAGAATTCTGTTGGTGACGAACGTCTGTAAAGCGGCCTTGTTGGGGGTCGACTTACTGTTTAGAACGGTCTTGTTGGTGACTAACTTACTCTGTTGGAAGGCTTTGTTGGTGGTCGACTTACTGTTTAGAACGGTCTTGGTGGTGACTAACTTACTCTGTCGGACGGCCTTGTTGGGGGTCTACTTGCTGTTAAGGACGGTCTTGTTGGTGACTAACTTACTCTGTCGGAGGGCCTTGTTTGTAGTCGTCTTGGAACAATCCTGTGATAATCTACCTGTTGTTTAAGAAGGTTCTGTTGGTGAACTATTTGCTTTTTAGGATAGCCATTTTGGTGACCCATACTCCCCGTAGATAAGGATAATGATATACTTACTGTTAAGTGCTGTCTTATTTTGTAAGAGGTCGCTAAGGACACCAGCTGGTAGTTTATCAAACGCCTCATCCGAAGGTGCAAACAAGGTGAAAGGCCCGCCTGTACCAACAATAGTTATAACTTTTCATGTTTCACTAATTTACCTAACATCATATATGGAACATCCATGACATCACTTTATAAATGACAATTGCCGCAATTCAAGATTTCTATTAGTATAAATTTGTGTATGGGCACATTTTTAAGTAAAGACAGTTATTTTTATTGTCTTTTTCCTAGCTAGTGGACTACAGCCGACTACATTTTCCAAATTTACACTCGATACGAAAGGACAATGGTCTCAAAACCAACCAAGAAGCAGCTGTACACGATACTGTGTATAAATAATTCAATTATTCCACTTTTAAGGCAATATTTTGCATCATTCTGAAGTATAAAATCACAATCATTTGGCAACCTTTGAAGAAGTCTATAAGGTCCCCCATGGATACGGCATAGACGAGCTGGGATAGAGTAGGGGTTGCAGCGGCATACTCCAGAATGCTTTGTGTGGGGAGAGGATATAGTACTTTATCTACCATATGTACCACCCCATTTGTAGCCAGCTGGTCTGGTAGTATCACATTCGCTCCGTCGACTGTCACCTTCTGTAACACAGATATTCTACTTTTGTATCAGATGTAGTAAAATCATAAAGGAATATGAAATGATGATAAGTTTCAAAACTTCTCTTAAAAAGCAATTGAAAGCTTAAAACCTGAACATAGTTTCAAGCCACCTCACCTATTCGTAAACAAGGTCTCAGTTAATCGAAAACAGGAAAATACCGGCAATGTCGAGTCAATGAGTAAAACACGGACAAACAAAAATAATGTCAATAAAATAATATTTCAAACACAAATTTAATAAAACTAGGACAAAATATGAACAAAAGAAAGATTTACACAGAGACTCCTTAAAAAGTACAAGGAGAATGAGACCAGGTGACTATGAGGTAAATAAGGGGTAGCAGATTAACCCATAACGATTACAGAAGATAGGAGGTTCCTGAAGGATAAACGTCTTTTGTTTTATCAATTATTATTTTATCTACAAGTATAATGATAAGTTTTCACGGAATGAAAACTCCAAACAACGATCATAAATTGTGACTATAGCTGGTTTAAGAAAAGAAAGAATATTTTGAATTTACTCACTGAACCGTAAATGTTGACCCTTAGTTTGGACGTGCCTTCAACCGTATCGACAACCATGTCGTTTTTTAGCTGATTAGATGTGACGTTACCGCTGACCACGTGGTAGGTAAGAACCTGTGATAGCAACTCCTTATCGCTGGTCAATTTGTCAAGTACATCCTGGGGAAGAGCTTTAAAGGCTTTGTCAACGGGGGCGAAAAGAGTGAATGGTCCTAAAGCAACAACAACATACAAACTGGATAATTAGGGGAGTATACGTCATATGGAATCTGAATAAAAAACGTGTAGCCACAGAATCTATAAGGCATCATTCAAATATCAAAACTCAAAACCAAGGGCCTAAATTATAAAGCATAGAAGAAGACTGGCCAAAATAAATGCAAATAAACAGAACTTTTTTCCAACTCCCTTATAGTAGAATACGTCCGTGAGATAAAATTCTACCAAATATTTCAGAATATCATTAAAGTTGATTACCTTGCCCACTAAGTGTTTCCACCAAATCCGCGTCCTTTACCAACGTTCCCAGAGTTTTACCTCCCAGTCTCTCAGCAGTCATTAAAACATTCTCCTCAGCCAATCCGCTTCCACAGAGGAAAAGTATCACCATAATTTGTGACCCAGTCATCACGAAATTGTTTGCTGTTCTGACCGTCTTGTTTGATATTGTGTAGCTATTTCACACCTGTCTTACCTAGATATGAATTAAACTTTCTAGTGATAGGTAACAGTTGGGAATTTTGTGCAATCTCTATCCTCACCTACGAGTATTTATAGCGCACATGGTCAGTATACAGGACTGTTTGTAGGACACCTGACCACTCACGTACGTGTATACGACAGATAAGAAGCACAAACGAACCATAAACCTTCAACCAGTATATATTACAAATAATTAGGTATTATGCCTGTTCGAACACTAATTACTATCAGTATATGACGTATTTGAGTCAAAATTCAGATGGAATATTGAAGCAAAATAATATTGAACCTATTTATACTGTGACAAAACCTTATAACATGTTTCTATAAAAAATGTATGTACCCAGAGGTTCCGATCACTAATAGTATCGAACACTCTGGGCTCGGATTTTGAAATACAGTGTATGAATCCCCTTAGATAATTGATTTGACCCATTCAAATGACTATATTATCTAATGGCTCGTTTCCATATATGAATGGGTGATAATGTTATGATAAACGTTATCATTTTAATGCTAATAAAAGTATTACGACAGGAGTGCTGTAGGATTTATGATCGGGTGATATTTTCCTCTATGAAAACATCCTTTTGTTTATGTAATTCATATAGATAAAAACCCGTTTTGTCTGAATCTCCTCATAGCAGAAAGCTGCATTCATTTAAGAGACTCACGATGGGGAAACTACGACACTAGATTTTGGGGTACACCACTTCAGCCTGATGGTGTCTGTAGGTAAATATTTCTACTCACCTTCGACACTAGATAATAGGGTACACCACTTCAGTCTGATGGTGTGTGTAGGTAAACATTTCTACTCACCTTCGACACTAGAATATGGGGTACACCACTTCAGCCTGATGGTGTGTGTAGGTAAACATTTCTACTCACCTTCGACACTAGATTATGGGGTACACCACTTCAGCCTGATGGTGTGTGTAGGTAAACATTTCTACTCACCTTCGACACTAGATTTTGGGTTACACCACTTCAGTCTGATGGTGTGTGTAGGTAAACATTTCTACTCACCTTCGACACTAGAATATGGGGTACACCACTTCAGCCTGATGGTGTGTGTAGGTAAACATTTCTACTCACCTTCGACACTAGATTATGGGGTACACCACTTCAGCCTGATGGTGTCTGTAGGTAAACATTTCTACTCACCTTCGACACTAGATTTTGGGTTACACCACTGCAGTCTGATGGTGTGTGTAGGTAAACAGTTCTACTCACCTACGACACTAGATTATGGGGTACACCACTTCAGCCTGATGTTGTCTGTAGGTAAACATTTCTACTCACCTTCGACACTAAATTTTAGGGTACACCACTTTAGCGTGATGGATTTTGTAGGCAGATCTTCTTTGGGTGGTTTTTATTAATTATTAAAAACAAACAAAATTGTGTCTTTTATATATATCGTATACATCTTAAAGATAAAGTACATTTTAGGAGTCAAGAGAAATTAATCGAGGTTTGTTGGATGATATTGCGATCTGAATTCGGTCTGTAGTAAGAAGCTGGCAATAAAGTTATCTAAACGTCGCACATACATTTTCTAACTGGTTGTGATTTTTTAAAAAAAAAATTATTCAAAATCAAAATGGGATAGAAATTAAAAACATTTCGTCCAATAATTCTAAAACAGATCCATTATATTTCTGGAATTCGTTTGTCAACAGAAAATAAGACGAAAAAGGAATATTTCCGACACACATCAAATAACAGTTATTTCTCAAATTTAAGGCCAAACAATAAAATATCAAGATGTAAAAACATTTGAAAGCCTTGAAAACTATTTGGGATATTATCAATATGATTTATTTTTCCTTGTACAAAGACATACTTATATCATCAAAGACATCACTTACAAGTTGAGCCTTAAATCATCAAAGATATGTTTATCTTATTGTAACAAATGATTAATAAAAGTTTTCTAAGACATGAAGTTTTGCTTTTATCTTATCTATAGTTTTAGACAAGATAGAAATATTTCTGATCTCAGTCCAAGATCTGATTTTTTATTCTATAAATACTTGATCAATGTCAAATTGTCCTTTGTTTACAAGCTCGGAAGAAACCAAGGATTGTGTTAAGAGACTGGTCTCCTAACAAGAGGCCCATGGGCCTTAACGGTCATCTGACAAAAAGCAAGCCAAACCTAGAAAGTGGGTTGAGGTCATTCATTTGAACAAACTTGGTAGCCTCTCCTCCAAGTGTATCTTACGGGCCCAATATCAGCACTCATGGACTTTTGCTTGTTGAGAAGAAGTCGTTTGTATATTTTAACATATTTGACCCCTGTGACCTTGAAAGTGGGTCGAGGTCATTCATTTGAATAAACTTGGTAGCCTTTCCTCCCAGCATGCTACAGACCCAATATCGGCACTCATAGACTTTTGCTTATTGAGATGAAGTCCTTTGTATATTTTAACATATTTGACCCCTGTGACCTTGAAAGTGGGCCAAGGTCATTCATTTGAACAAACTTTGTAGGGCTCCATGCCAGCATGCTATGGGCCAAGTATTAGCCCAACCTAGGCCTTCTAGTATTTGAGAAGAAGTTATTTAAAGATTTTAACATATTTGACCCCTGTGACATTGAAAGTTGTTCAAGGTCATTCATTTGAACAAACTTGATAGCCCTTCATCCCAGCATGCCACAGGCACAATATCAGCAATCTGAGCCTTTTGGTTATTGAGGAGAAGTCGTTTAAAGATTTCAACATATTTGGCCCTGTTACCTTGAACGTAGGTCAAGGTCATTCACTTGAACAAACTTTGTAGCACTTTATCCCAGCATGTCACAGGCCCAATATCTACACTCTGAGCCTTTTGGTTAATGAGAAGAAGTTGTTTAAAGATTTTAACATATTTGACCCCTGTGACCTTTAAAGTGGGTCAAGGTCATTCATTTGAACAAACTTGGTAGCCTCTCCTCCAAGCATCTTACGGGCCCAATATCAGCACTCATGGACTTTTGCTTGTTGAGAAGAAGTCGTTTGTATATTTTAACATATTTGACCCCTGTGACCTTGAAAGTGGGTCGAGGTCATTCATTTGAATAAACTTGGTAGCCTTTCCTCCCAGCATGCTACAGACCCAATATCGGCACTCATAGACTTTTGCTTATTGAGATGAAGTCCTTTGTATATTTTAACATATTTGACCCCTGTGACCTTGAAAGTGGGCCAAGGTCATTCATTTGAACAAACTTTGTAGGGCTCCATGCCAGCATGCTATGGGCCAAGTATTAGCCCCCTAGGCCTTCTAGTATTTGAGAAGAAGTTATTTAAAGATTTCAACATATTTGACCCCTGTGACATTGAAAGTTGTTCAAGGTCATTCATTTGAACAAACTTGATAGCCCTTCATCCCAGCATGCCACAGGCACAATAACAGCAATATGAGCCTTTTGGTTATTGAGGAGAAGTCGTTTAAAGATTTCAACATATTTGGCCCCTGTTACCTTGAACGTAGGTCAAGGTCATTCACTTGAACAAACTTAGTAGCACTTTATCCCAGCATGTCACAGGCCCAATATCTACACTCTGAGCCTTTTGGTTAATGAGAAGAAGTTGTTTAAAGATTTTAACATATTTGACCTTTAAAGTGGGTCAAGGTCATTCATTTGAACAAACTTGGTAGAGCTCCATGCCAGTATCCTCTGTGCCAAGTATTAGCCCCCTAGACCTTCTAGTATTTGAGAAGAAGTCGTTTGAATGAAAAGTTTACGGACGGCGCACGGCGCACGGCGCACGGCGGACGACGACGGACGAAGCATGATGTATATAGGACAACACAGTACAGTCTGTGGTATCATGAGAAATATAAACCATCCTGTGTATATAGACAACACAGTACAGTCTATGTATATAGAAATAAGCCTGTGTATATAGACAACACAGTCATCCACTGTGTATATGAGAAATATAAACCATCCTGTGTATATAGACAACACAGTACAGTCTGTGGTCTCATGAGAAATATAAACCATCCTGTGTATATAGACAACACAGTACAGTCTGTGGTCTCATGAGAAATATAAACCATCCTGTGTATATAGACAACACAGTACAGTCATCCTGTGTATATAGACAACACAGTACAGTCTGTGGTATCATGAGAAATATAAACCATCCTGTGTATATAGACAACACAGTACAGTCTGTGGTCTCATGAGAAATATAATTCAAATATCGTTTCAGGTACAAATCTTCAACGGGTCTCATTTATATTAATGATTGAAAAATAAATAATTATATAAGCATAATACAAAATAATAATTGATAATTGTAGAGAATAATGAATTTATTACTGGTGAAATAAGCAAAGTTACAAAAGGTAATAATTGATATCTATAAAACATATATCAATTCTGCGTCATGGCTATTGATAATGTAATTCGTTTTAATATGTGAAATTGTTTAAAATCAAGTATTTTCAGTATATAAATGTAGTAATGAAAAACCGAGCACAAGCAAATGTAGGATTTGAAGATGGGCAACGGGAACATACATTCTTTTCTTTGTTCTCAGTGTTAACGCTTTTGAACAATACACTTGATTTGATTTAAAGATCATGCCAGGCAAAGCTCGTCATTGATTCAAGAGAAAAAGAACATTATCAGCAACAGAGGTCTTGAGATCATCAAGAGGGTGAAGCATGAAGGGAGTGACCAAACCAGGCAAAGATCTTCAGTTGTTCGAATTAGGTCAAAAAGGAAACTATCAACAACGGTTCTCTTGAGATCTTCAAGAGAGTAAAGTATGAGGGGAGAAATCTGCCCCTGATCAATGGATAATAACAGTTTTCACCTCGTGATAATTTTCCTATGTATTAATTCATAAAAAACAATAGAGCTTCGAAAACTACATTCAGAAGGCTCAGCGTATACAGACAATAGTACAAATATGGGAAGTG